ATTTTAACTTTGTTCTTGAACAAAAGAGCACGTCTCATACATTTACTTCATGTATAATAATAATTCACACCATTTATAGGAGTTACAAGAGCCATTCCTGAATTTTTGCTAGGATAGTTTAAGGGATTCTCCGAGTGATCCATGAGATGGAAACAAGAAAACAGAACAATAAAAAAAATGCGCAGCGAAACAGAGCGGGATCAACTCATCTAATACCATATTTCAAAAACATGGTACAATAAAAAAGAAGGAAACATAGAGAAGAAGAAGAAGGAAATCGAAAAGAAGAAACATATATACTTTAGCTTAGAGACATGATTTCTGTGTATCTTAATACAGACATAAGACAGATACATACAGGAAGAAACAGAGTCGAAAAGAAAATGGACCTAAAGCCCGAAAAAAAGAAAGTCAACATGCTACATTTTAAGAAACTGACTTTGTTGAAATCATGCATACATGAGAGACCAAACCTACCACGTTCTTACCTATACCAATACTAGAAGGTTTTTCAATTTTAATATATAATTACAAATTTGAAAATACTGAAATCCAAACTATACGGGTGTAGAACCTTTTGAAACACTCCAAAGAAAAATATATCTTAAAGATTAAATGAAAACAAGAGACTGTAAGGTGAAAATAGAGTCGACGAACGAGATTTTTAATTAGTACATAAAAAAAGTTTTGATATTATTTTTTTCATTTTTCATTTTATCTTTTTATGATTTAAAATTATTTCATAAAATTAAATTTGGGAAAATATATTTTTATTTTTAATTTTATTTTTTAATGACATAGTTATTTGTTCATTAATAAAATTAAATTAGAAACATATATTTTATTAAATAATATTATTTTAAAGAATGGTATATATATATATATATATATATATATATATATATATAAATTATTTTTATTACAATATAAAAAATTGTTTCTCTAAAAATTTATTTTACTATTTCATACATTTAATTTGTTTTTTAAACTAATTTATTGTAAACAGAACAACATATTTCAGCTTTATTATATTTAATATTTAATAAATTATTCTTTTAGTTTTTAAATAGAGCTATTACTTTTTCAAATTTAAAATTTTATATTAATTTTCAAAATGTCAATTATGAATAAAGTTTGAACTATATTGTTAATCAATTTACTCTATAAATGTATTCCTAAAAATTATTTTAATTTTTTTATTTTTAAAATAAATAAATAACTAATTTTTTTAATGTGTCATGTATTATTTATATTTATCGTTATTATATTTATCAATATTATGTTAAATTATTATATAAATATTCCTATTGTTGAGTACTTTTTACATTTTATTAAGTAAAAGTTAAATTAATATTATTTAATAAAAAAATTAGCATTATTCATCTATATACATATAATTTAATAAAATATATAATTTAATAAAAAAATTTAAATAATGATTAAATATATTTTTAATACCTAAAGTTGAATATGTGAAATTGGAATGAGTTCATATTTGAAACTTTGATATTTTTTGGTCTCTAATTTAAAAAATGAATGGATATAATCCTTTCATCCAAAATTGTTAATTATTTTTAGGCTTAATACCTCTTTTGGTCCCTCCTTAGGAGGACAATGTTCAAGTCCGTCCTACATTTTTTAAAAAGTTCAATGTCGTCCTAACTTGTGAAAAAAGTGTACAATTAAATCCTTTTTGGTCACGGCGTTAAAAATTTAACGATCCAGCTGACAGCGTTGAGTGATCTGTGCAACGTGGCTGTTTAGGTTCATAATGTGGCAGTGATAGTGATTTTCATTAAAGTTCACGTGGCAGTGGCAGTGATTTTCATTAAGAGGGGTTAGGGTTTGATTTCCTCCCAATTTAATATTGAAAGGGAAATGAGCTTCCAATGCTTGAAATTGAGGATTCGAAACAAATTGTAGCCATTACGAAATGGCGTTTCATAACTAAATATAGAACTTGCTTGAAACTCAAAAAATGAACACCAGAAACAAGCAGCAGGTTGCAATTGGACGTTCCTAAGTTGCATAAAGAACAAAGCAAGGATTAACAAGATATGGAAGATCCAGAAGTGTTTCAGCCGTTCTAATCCAAACATTCAAATGTTATAATTTAGTGGGATAGAGCAGGTAAAAGGGTAAGTAAAAGGTTTTTAAAATTAAACAAGGGGGAGTAAAAGGTTTAACTTTAAATCTCAAGAAAGGGAAAAAGGTTTGCTTCCTTTCTTTCCTCAAGTATCCTAGAACAGGGGGAAATACTCTCCCTACATCCGATCACCAACCTTCCTTTACATTTTCCTCTACTTTCTTCTCCAACTCGACACAAAATCATCCAAACATAGCTTAAACATTGATTCCATCCAGCGGTAAAAATCATGGGAGGAAACCAAACTCTTTGGTTTCCTCTACAAGCACCATCATGGGACGCACGAGAAGATCCTTTGGCCCAGCTTTTCCAAAACGAAGAACACCCTTGGGAAGCCATTCCTATGTCTCCCCAAACACTTCCCAAACCTCAAAGACCAATTGGGAGGAAACCAAACCCTAACCCCTCTTAATGAAAATAACTGCCACTGCCACGTGAACTTTAATGAAAATCACTGTCACTGCCACGTTATGAACCTAAACAGCCACGTTGCACAGATCACTCCACGCTATCAGCTAACGTCGTGACCAAAAAGGATTTAATTGTACACTTTTTTCACAAGTTGGGACAACATTGAACTTTTTAAAAAAGGTAGGACGGACTTGAACATTGCCCCCCCTAAAGAGGGACCAAAAGAGGTATTAAGCCTTATTTTTACACTTTAATTGTCTTCATACATTTGGATTAGAATGTGTCAAATAGTATAAACAATTCAAATATTAACATGAAACACAACTTGATGTGTAAAATAAATTTAATGCAATTGGGTTAGAATGATTATATTAATTAATTCATTTTAAAAGTTTGATATTGTAAAGTAATACACAAGAAAGAATTCCAATTTTGCATTTGATTTAAAGTTTAGGGACTTAAAACATATTTAACCCTTTAAATAATTATATTTGTCACAAAATAAATTAAAAGATTTTACTTAATAGTTCATTTCAAAGGTTTAGTAATAAAAAATATCACACTTCTTAATATTATAAATTTTGTTTTATATTCACTTAATTCATTTAAACTACTAAAAATTATCTGAAAAAGACACACATATATAAAAATTAAATTGAGATTAACACAATAACATGTGATATTGTCCCATGTTACATTTGTTAGTACTCGTGGATTTGATTGGATCAAGTCCATGTTATTTTGAGTTTGATGTGTGAAATCCATATATTGTACAAAATGCAAACCTAAATTTAAATCTAAAATAAAATTTTTGATTTTATTAACTATATTTAAATCTAAATTTAAATTGGAAATTAGTATTTAATTTAATTTTATTTATTTAAAATGAATATCAAAATGTAACCTACTTTATTATATATAAAGTTGAACATGCAACATTAATTATGAATAATTTGAAAACTGAGGCAATGACGTTTGAGTTATGAAAACTATAACTAATTTTGAATAATTACATTTGAAAACTAGAAAATCACATTCAAAAGTGAAAATACACAAATACACAAATATATATATATATATATATATATATATATATATATATATATATATATGGAGTGCATATTAACAACTAGGTGAGATGAGTTGGTGTAAGGAAAAAAAAACATTTTTATCATCAAAATAAATGTTTTAATAAAATAAATGATAGCTTACAATCATATCCTAAGGGCCATTTACCATATCATTGTCCCTACTCCAACACAAATATAATTAAAATAACAATTCAGAATATCATTTAATTTTCTCTTTCAGTTTCACTCTTTGAACAAAGTTGACATATTTGTTTTAGCACAAATTCCTTGCAATATTGTGTCCCTGGATTCAAATTACTGTATTTTTTGTATCGATCTTTTCAGGGGATGCTTTGTTCAACGCTCATTTTTTCCTCCTTTTCTTTCATTTTGGAAGTTTTGATATTGTATAACTTTGTCCCAAGCCAGTAATGTTGACTGTGCCTTTTTACACCTGCATACAAAATACATCCCTACAACACAAAAAAGGCCCTATTCTGTAGTTTTTGATCGTTTACTCGATAGGTTTTCCTAGTTGGCCTGCATCAATAATCATTGATCGTCGTAATCTCGATATTAATTAGTATATATACTCCAAATGAATCCAAACCTGCTATAGCCAATTTTCTCTCATTTTCTCGTTGCATGTAAAGTAAATAACAGAAAGTGTGTGTGTGAAAAAAACAATAATGCAGAGAAAAGAAAAAAAGGTGAAAGCGAGAAAAAAATTATACGCGAAATGTAATTATGGAGAATACTGAATTCGAAAATCAGAAGGGTTAGCTCAACTAAAACGATGGTGACAACTAAAACAAAGTTGATCTCAAATAATGAAGTGCTCAAAGGATATTTGAAACCTTTTTTTAAAAAAAAAGAAAACGGTTAGCACCATTTTATCAACAACAAACACATGTAGAAAATATGCATGGACCACCTTAAATTATTTATCATCTAGAATTAAAACAACGATCAACAATGACAAATATAATAAAAAATGTATATAATGAGTAATGAAAGTTTATATATAAGTTAGGACACTAATATTTTAACAATTTTTTTACAATAAATTATGGGTTATTATTTTATTGATCCGTGTATTTAAAACAGATCAATCACATGCTACCATACATGCATTTGTCAAAAAATTATAAAAAAAAATTGTTAAAAATTTTTTTTTTCCACATAAGTTAACAGTGTCCGTGCATTTATCACCACCTCACAGTTAACAGATGAAATTATCGTTTAAAATAGAAAAAGTTACTTTGAGGAAACAAAACACGAGACATAGCGAACGAAAACCAACTTTTTATAATAGGAAACAGATGAGAAGGCGCAATGATAGATCATTGCAACAAACGAAAGGAAAAGTGTTAGCAGGCCTCAGATAATTGAATACGTCATTATCAAAGATAAGATTATCAGCCAATGTCGGCAATATCAACACATCACTGGCCACACATTATTCAGATCATAAAAACCAATTTTGAAACAGAGAAAACAAAGCTTTGGTGTCGGTTTAAAATTGAGCTTGAACTATAATGTTAAGTGATGATAACATAATTACAGAAGTACCACGTACCAAATTCACCGTACTGCGAGAACCCCATTTTGAACTCTCATCAAAACAAGACATGTGATAATAACGTTAAAGTGAACAAACCACGTAACAGGTACAGTGAATAATCAGCGTACATGGTGATCTCTCTGAACAGCTGCAAGAAAGTGAAGAGACAAGAACGAAGTGATCTGAATTTATAAGTAATTTTGCAGTGTCGAAGTGAGAATAGGAGTCTTCTCTTGATAGACAAGCAAAATATTTGTGGTTGTCGCAGCCTCGTGTACCTTTCAAACGGAGCAGATATGGAAAGCATCTTAGCGCAGCCTTCTACTTTTCAACAAGCACCACGAGGGCGTGCCATGCAAGAAACTTTTTTAATTAAACTCAGCTTACTTTTAAGAAGGTAAAAAGTTTTACTCAAGTAGCCATTAAATTCAAATTAACTTCAACCTTAATTTAGTTATTAAAATTAAGTGACTATTTAACCTATTTGCCGGTGCATATACTATTTTATTTACTCCATTACTTTTGCATAATATATCGTTAAAACAACTCACAAACTTATTATTTTAAGAGTATTGAATTTTAAAAATAACTATATGTATTGAGTGAAACATTATTAATAAAATAAACAATCGATCGTTTAATTATGAAAGACTTTGATAAATGAATAGAATTAACTAATTATCTAATTAATCTAAATATATTAATAATCAAGTTTACACGAAATTGAGTCAGGTTAATCTTAACAAAAAATCCATTTGAAAAACTATAAATACAGGTTAAAGGTATAGTTGCTGAAACTTTTTACAATGCATTTATTATATCATTAATTGCTAAATTGATCGAATCCAAATTAACTTTAGCATTGAAGCACCTTTAGCAGGTATCCCTGACTGGTCGGAGAACAACTTACCCAAATGAAGAGAATAGCATTGGAGCAGGTGACTCAGAGATTGTTTTAAGTGAACGTTCAACCCTACACATGAAATATTTTATAGGCCTCCCAAGCCTTTAGCTTGAATGAAGACCACAAACAAAAATGGTTTACATATGCTCAGCTCGCCCTTGAAAATATGACCTTTGTCGATGGATGGGTGTCGCCCCATGAACCGCGTCGATGCCTCGCAAACTGCTACATCCGCTCGAGTTGCCCATAAAAATATAACCATTGGCAAGGGACGGATGTGTCGCCTTGTGAACCATGTTGATGCCTCACAAACTGTGTTGTCAACTTTAACACCAAATGTGAAACGTCACATACCTTTTGTCATTGAATGGTGCAAGATCTAGTTATCGTCAAAGCGCCATGTGTCCTTAAAGTTTTCCATGAATAGGGACTAGGTGGTCTCGCTATTTTCACCATTTTTGTTCGCTCATTCATTTTTTCGTAGCTTGGTTTCAAATTCCTTCCACTTAAGGTAATAATGTCTCCAATTGACATCTCTTCAAAGCTCCTCTAGTCGGGAGGGTAGGGGATATATTAATGATGCCTATGTGTCATCGTCATTGCTCAGGTCATTGTCTAGGAATTGAGGGTCATTGGAGCACATCTTGACATCTATAAATATTGTCATGAGGCTTATTCAAGCTACTAATAAAGGTTTAATTGGGGACTAAGGTTAAGAGGAGGCCACAAGAGAAATGAGTGACCATACAATTGGGGAGATTTGCATTGACACCACTATTAAAAGGGATGAATTAAATCTTTCGGAGATCCTCGAGTATGATTAGGTTGCACACGAGGTTGGTGAATATACTACTCACTTCAAGTAGGGTAATGATTTAGTGGACCTCTTCGGTCGAACTTTTATTTCGAGGGATGATATGAATGATGATGATTTGCATCTTTGAGTGTGTCGAGGCAACGATCGGGTGTGTCATGACTAGGAGAATTTGAAATTGTATTTCTTTTTCGTTTATTCCTGCTTCTTCACAGAACTTTGTGTGCATGCCATTCGAGGACTTCTAAAATAGGGTCCTGCAGGATTTGAACGTCACTCCTACGCAGTTTCACTGGAATGCTTTGACAGTTATGCAAGTATTCAGTATTCTATACAAGACTTTGAGTGATTCTCCCTGCACCTCACCAAGTTCATCCCGCACCTCTTAATTTTGTTTTAATTCCAACGGTACCCTTATCCCTAACTCTACTTCTGAAATGTCAGTGAGCATTGATTTTCTAAAAATGTTAACTCATCCACTCATAAAATTGAAACTTTTCCTTAGCCGCATCTCACTTTAAACCCTACACCCCTACTTCTTTCTCCTCTTTGTCGCATCTCATGTGAAACCCTACCCTTGAGTCTTTCTTCTTTCTCCTATCTAAGGTTATGCCCTACTCCCTCCTTTTTCACAATTTTTTGAAAATGAGTGATCTTCCTTCCCCTCTATTCAGTTTTTTGCTCACTATTTTTCGTGTTGGTGCCTTAGCTCTCGTCCCTCATTTCTTCAATCGTTGGTGTCGTGGTTGCAGGGTGTCTTCTTCTCGTACATCAACGTCCAGGTTAGTTATTTTATTTTGATTTGTGGTTGTTCTTTAGTATATGCTGTGGGGAAAAATGATAGAATGTTTGTGCTTATATCTGCTTTGATCTGGGCGGGAGTTGCAGGCCAAACTGCACATGGAACTGCGATTAATGGCCGCACTTAGAAGTGCGGATATGGTTGCGCCGCAGTTGGATCTCCGTGAGACAATAACCGCAGGTGGATTTACAGTTAGTTTTTGGAGGTGCATGGCCGCCGGCGCACTTGGAAGTGCGGATCTGGGTTTTCCACAGTTCGAACTGCGGCTAAGGCCAACCACAGTTCAATTTGCGGGTGTTATTTTCGATTTAGGGTCTCTACGGTTTCGGTCATGGACTGTGTTATTTTGTTATTAAGTTGGTAAATTTGATTTTGTTTTGTTAGGTTTTAATCTTAAATGAAGAACTCAAGAAAACAATATAACAGTGCACTAAATAACTGAAGAATTAAAAATGAAAGTCAGAAAAATAACAGTGAAGGGGGTGCATGTACAGTAACAATGATATTTAGGGTTTATTCCATTTAGGATTGTTGAAGGTTAAGAAGGTTGCTGGTCGTTGAGAAATCATTAAGTAAACGAGGGCAAAAGTGTAAAATAGGAGGTGCAGGAAGAAGGAGGTGAGGTGCAGGGAGAACTACTCCAAGACTTTGTGTCACACTCCTACCCTAGCCTTTTTAACCTCGACCGTGACATTTATAGTGAATAGTCTTTCCTTGCTCAGTTTGTTTTCGTTCGGTTTTTAACATAGCTAAATTTTCTTTTGTGTTACAGTTATATAATGGCTCGTACCAACCCTCATAATCTCAATTTCCTTAAGAAGTTGTTGGATGAGCATCCTCTTGGTGTTGGTGGTTATGGGGTCATTCATGGTGAAAGTCCTTCAACTATGGTAGTAGAGGAAAGGACACCAATCGATCTTGTTGATGAGGCGACGACCTCCCACGCGCCCATCAACTCATTCTTCCAAGCATGATCATTGAGGTAGTGAGACTTTAACCCCCTTGTTGGTGGGATTTTTAGAATAGACTTCTATATGGCGAACAAAGTCTCTTTTCACCTTAACCTCGAAGAAAAAAAAAAAGTTAATAAAGGGGGTATTTGTGGCCGATGCATTGGTCGTTGTGGCAGAGTTTAACTTTGAGTGGTTGTTCTATGTCAAGGGTAGCTCCTGAAGCCAATAGGTTGGAGGTGGTTTGAGTGGAAAAGGAGCTCCTAAAGGAATCTCGTCGCCTTCTTTAAACCTAATGGGTCTTGACAACCTTTTCGAAGGATCTCAAAGTTGCTCATGATCAATGTGTGTAGAAGGAAAATGATGCGACTACCAATGTTACTGCCTTGGTAGAAAAAGAGAAGAGCTTGATGGCTGAGATTCATTGACAACAATAACAAGTTGATGATCTCCTCCTTACTCAATAGGTCGATTGGAAGTCTATGAGGTACTGGGATAAAAAGTATAAGTTTTTTGTTGCGGAGCTTGACGAGATTAAAGAGTAGGCTCAACATGAGGCTGGCTTCTAGAAGGCCTTGGACAAGGCGACCTACTTTTATGGCATCCCTTTCGATGAGGGAAAATTTGACATTCAAATGACCTTTCATAAGGGGCAACTTATGTTCGGGACAATTCAAACGATAAAGATGACACCGAAGACGCTAAAGAGGATGTTGTTGAAGATGAAGTCTTCCTTAATCCAACTAATTGGAATGAGTTCATTGAAGACTTTCCCAACCCTCCAAACCGTTGAACTTTAGTTCCGTCTCTTTTTATTGAGTTGTTATATATTTTGCATACTTTTTGGGGTTAATCTGACACTATCAATAGATATAGTGTTTTTTTAAACTGATCGGTGTCAAACTAGCCCCTTCACACTACATAATTCTAATTAAAGCAAATCAAAACTCTTTATCTTCATACTTATCCACTATTTTTTTTTATTTTCTGTTGTTGTGACTATGATATTGAATTTATTTATGATTTTATATCTATTGGACTAATGGATGAAATAGGTTACTCTTGTTTATGTTATGTTTTCATATAAAGACGAAAACTTTATTCTTTATTTTAATTTGTATATGAACAGTTTAAAGTACCATTTATAGGAAAACATGTTTTTGTCTTAATTTTTTTAACTTGTCCATAAATGTTATAATTGAAAAATAATTTTGTTTAGTCATATAGAGAAAGAAAAAGGCCATGTGCTTGAAGAAATTGACTGTGAAGGGCACGGAGAAAGTGGAAACTGGAGTGGATAGTAGCACTTAATTCCATGCCGCAATAGTTGAACGAACATCATTATTAATATTGTCTTCTAGTTAAATAGAGTTCAGTGGTTTCTCATCTTGTGTGTTTCTTGAATATTATGAAAGTACAAAA